TGAGGTGACTTTTTGGGTACGTGCTTTGGTGATGATGGGTTGGGTCATCGGGAGAAACCGATCGATTCAACACAAGTCCGGGCGCCGAGTCGACTGTTGGGAACCAACACGCCACATGCCGCGGACACGGGCGCCTGACAAGCATGCGAAAATCTTCCCAGGGCACGTTACCACGGGCACTGGCTGGACCTCAAATTCTACACAAAGCCTAGCCCCTTCCTGGGAAAATTCCTGAGCATTGGCCGGGATTAAAAGTAAGTTTGTCAATTTTTAGAGCAGATCAGGGATCCTACATGCAGCGGACATGAAAAAAGGAACCCCTACCTGGGGGTGGTCTCTGCCTGGAAGGAAGGCTAGCGCTAAGGTTCTATCCCTTGGGGGTCGGCGGCTGCAGGCGGTAGCCTGGTAAATACCTAGCACTCTAGAGCTACTGATTACTTAGCAGAGATGAATTAAGTGCGATAGCTAGGGAGCGGGACTTTAGTCTTAGACCGCCCGGGTAGGAAAGACTAGAACAGGAACAACACAGGGAAAGGCACCGACACACAAGTGTGTCGAGTACCATTTCCCTATGTTGCCCTAATTAGCTTGGGGGGGGGGTTTGGGAAACCTGCCTGACTGCATGACTGCAAGGGGAGTACCGTTTTATAGCCCGGCGGCTGTGGTGGTTCACCGTTTTTTGGCCCGGCGGCTGTTGTGGCAGTTAATTAGTTGGAAGTGGAGGTGAATTCCAGTGAAGTTCCGGTGAGCGGTAGTGAGTTCCGGTAAAGGTTTCCCAATGAAACAGCGCCCCAGTGACGGGGATCACACTCAGCACCCGAGTGGGACGGCTGAGCGAAACACACTCTGACATTGGTTTTCAGTTACACTCAGTTCCCAAGCTGAGAAGGAAGGTGAGAGAACGGAAAGGTGGCAGAGTCCGCGGAAAAGTATTGTTTAACATTGTTCACCAGTGCACTTTACTTAACTACGATTACTGCAATTTAGACCTTGACTGAAAAAGAAGTGCTGAGTCCGTCGAACAGTATTTTTGAAAAACGTCGAGTTAAACAATTGAAAGGCAGGTACGTCAGTGCTGGCCGGGCACTGATATCACATCCACTTGGTGCGGTCTTTGTTAGATGAGGCACACCAAGGGATCCTCATCCCCCTGCTTTAAATTAAATTGAACCCTTGGAAACAGGGTTTGGCACTCCTAGAGCCAAGCTTGCTCACGCCGACTTATGATTACCCCAGTGCAGTAGGGCCTCTACTAGCCTACAGTAGCTCACTATGTCCAGTTCCATGTATGGCCTGTTTGGCCATCTGTCACACACACACACGCACAGGTCGCGCTACTGGTTTGTACATCCTCGTTCATCTTCATCTTCGCTAAGTCAACATAATTCACAAACATACCTCTGGGATTCTAGGCGCCTTGTTTGCTGGCTTTCACAAGGATCTCTAATTCTAATATGAGGTTATATGATGAGTCGCTGCAGTCCCTGTACCGCTTCCTTCTGGACTAAGGAGTTGTGACTTTGAAAGCCCAGCGCGATCTGAGCGAGGACCTCTTCGCACGCCTTGGCCAGTAAAATTCGCACCCGCTGGACCGAACTCTTGGCATCGCCGAACACGGGTCGGCCATCAAAAGCATGGAAATGTCAGCCAGTCTTGTGACTTGTGTGTGGTCGTGGAACGGTGAATGAGCCAAAATTGACCTTGTGAACGCGGGCGCTTTTGGGCAAAGCAAAACACATTTAAAAAACACACACACACACACCTATATATATATAAATATGTATGTATGTAATTGTATGTACAGTAAATACAACACATACACATGTTCTGCTTGAAATCATTAATCCCGAGTACCTATTAATAAACGGACCCCAATTAAAAAAAAGTC